ACTTATTAAACAGAGAACTCCCGGTCTCCTAGTGATCTCAAAGAGACCTAATCATAATACCTTTCAAATTCGTATTATTCATTGGTTATCTTTATTTACAAACATTGTTTTACTGATTATCATTRATTGGTTATCTTTATTACAAACATTGTTTACTGATTATCATTCGGATTATTTCGTTAATTATCATTAATTAATTTTATTGATTAAATCGTTATAAATTCCTTATTACAAATTTTTCGAAGGGTTGACGGGAAATTTATTTTTTCGGTTTGATTAGGTGTCTACAGTCCATCAGTGGGACAAGGGATTGTATGTATATTGCTTGATTGTTCAACCCCTGTTCCCACTCTACCTACCCCCCGTGTTCTGTGATTACCGGGACTTCTCAAGTACCGCATCGGTTCAGACTGATGTCGACGGGACAGGACACCGGGGCACTGCCACGACGTAGTGCCAGAATCGCAGTTCGTGCCCGCCCTGCAGTACCTCCAAGACCGAAGAAACTCAGCAGACGGACGACTCCAGCAGCATCAAGTACGGCATTGACGGTACAAGACGCCACCGGAGATCATCCCGCATACCCAGTCCGAGGAGCCAATGAGCCCGCGGCTGATTATCGTGGGCGGCTACTGGCAGTTTCAGAAGCCGTAGCTGCCGTCGAGGCCCGGAAGGAGACAGCAGAGGCAGAACGTCAACGGCTAGCCAATGAAGCGGCAGCAGAAGCTCAGCGAACGACTGAGACTGACGCAGCGACACGAGACAGACGGAATGCCAGCAGCACGGAGTCCTTGATTGCTTGTGAGCATCAGTGGACGACGATACTCCAAGACATGATCTTTGTGCCTACAGAAGCGCAGGCAGACCCGACACCGGCGGAGGCAGAGAGAAGTAACCTGGCTAACTTGCTGTTGGGCATGATGAGAGGTATTATGTGGAATAATACACTGCTGCAGTCACATCTGCGCACGGACGCGACGCAGCGACAAACATACAAGAATGATATCACTACGTTAACAACTGCTATCCGCACAGAGGCAATACAGCAGCAGCAACAGCATCAACTGTTGAATTCCACTATCACACGCGTCAACAGCATAGAGGCTAACACCTCAGCAGCGCCAGGCTGCACGACAGACGTGACGAAGCAACTCAACGAGCCCATCGATCACGTCGTCACCATCATCGGCGACATAAGTACTTTCAACGGACCAGACTTGATCAGCAGCACGGTGGCCGCCATCAAGACGGACATCACCAAGCTACAGACGAGACCGGAAGCCGCTACAAAGACATTCAAGATGCCGACACTTCGACATCAGCAAGTTCGACGATTACAACAAGTCGGACGCCTTGTCATGGTGGCAACGCTTCCTCACGGAAGCATCATGCCGCATGGTCCCGGCGGACGACATGTTGAAGGCACTATATCTGCAGCTGATTGGAGGAGCGCAGGGATGGATGAACCACCTAGCGGCTACACAAGTGCACTATCGCCGAACTCCACACGCACATTACGTGGAAGGAGTTCGAGCAGCTATGGTTCACCCGGTTCATGGTCCGCAACGTCCTGAAGGCGCCATGAATGAGGTGTACACATGCTCTCAAGGGAACATGCCAACTCGAGACTGGACAACGAAGTGGCAAAAGATAGTGACCACAGCAGGTTTCGACTTGACGTTTCCAAATCAACGATCCGAGTTCTTCTCGCGATCGTGCGCGGGATTGCGGTCGGCMCTCGGTAATGAGTACGACTATGCCACATTCCAGGCCATTCTGGATCGAGCGAACTTGGTCATCCAAACGGACGACAAGGCCGCTAACGAGAGACAATCCCAGCCGCACTATGTGGCTAAGCAGACCTATCAACGTCCGACACATAACAATGCCGTGTTTTCTGAAGAAATCGACGACCACCACGCGGCGGCAGCATCCTCGAGTGATGGAGGAATTGTCGCAGCACTCCCGCGGAAGCATCCGAAGAGAGTTCGCAAGAACAAGGCGACACAAGGGACAGCGGCGACGGGAGCTGGGCAGCAGCCATGGACGGCTTATAAGATCACCAAGGAGGTCTATGACCTACGTCAGAAGTACGCATACTGCCTATGGTGCAACARYGTAGTRCACACTACCRCACAATGCCCAGACAAGGGCAAGGCACGCGCACCCCGTCCAGCCAACTCGGGAAACTGAGTTACGCAAGGAGAGGGGCGACGTCTCTCCTCACTCCGCCGGACCCGGTTGCCTTGCTAGCAATCGATGTCACTACCGGGGAGCATGCGTTAGTCGCTGATTCTCGTGCTACGTACGAGGATTATGCCGCCCAGCTGGTACCACCATTAGACCAGCCTAGCCACGTGCATGTAGATTGCGTATGCGCAGCCTGTACACCGTCGGCAAGTGAYCCGGTCAGTTCGCCACTGCTTTCCGAGGACTCGACGGCGTGGTCAAGACTTGAGAAGCTTGACCCGCTCACGAGAGAGGATTTCGCCTGGATGCCTCTACCCTCGACCGGAACCTTGCCAAGGCCGCATTGCAGCGCTTTGATGGCAAATGTACGCTCCTACTTTCACACTACAGTACCAGCTCCGTTGACGGACGACGGGGTAGCGGTTGCCGATCTCCGCTCCTATCTTGCGAAGATCAACCGCGAGCACGCCACCCAAAGGTACGCYGAAACCGACGCACCTTTGCTCTATATCCGCATTCAAATCGGAAAGGCRACCTGTAGTGCCTTGATTGATAGCGGAGCGTCTCGCAACTTCATGAGTCAAGCCTTTATGGCCCGCGCAGGTCTTGGCCCGCGCGTTCGAAGAAAGACGCAACCTACGCAAGTTACACTCGSGGACGGCCGCACGCAAAAGTCAATTGACCGATGCGTTGACGGCATTCCGGTCTACTTTGCGCCACTTGCGTGCGAGCCGGTGTCTTTTGACATCCTCGACACCAAGTTCGACATGATTCTAGGCATGTCTTGGTTGCGTAGCGCTGATCATCCGGTGAACTTCCATGACCGAACCGTTCACACCCGTGATCGGAACGGAGTGTTAGTCCCATGTACGGTCACGACCCCTCATACTTCGATTGCTTGTCACGTGGTTTCCGTTGCRAGAATTCGCGACGCCATTGCTCGGAATGACGTCGAGGAGATGGGCCTTGTATTCTTGCATGCTCTCCCCTCGCCGGACRGACCAGCCGCGTCACCGCCGGACCCACGCATTTCTCACCTCTTGGACGAGTATAGAGACGTCTTCGAGGCTCCCACCGGAACGGTTCCGGATCGGCCCATACGTCACGGGATCACT